CCAGACGAACAGAGCAACAGGACAGCGAACTTAAAACATTTGGTTCGGCTTGCTCACAAGGAATCAGAACGTGCATTTTATACCAAATTAAAGCTAGGAATGTCTAGTTTCAAACGCCACCGACGGCACATGATTTCGACATCCGAGGACAGAGTTATAGCCAAAATGCCAACGCTGGACAGTGCAATACGGAACAGATTTCCAGATTGCCACTTCTAGGAGAAAAATTCATTTGACCCACCAAACGTTAATGTTTTCCAACGAAAATTTTTACACACATAATATAACCTATATACATCAGGTTCATGCCAATAGATCACCAAAAATGGGCCTTCTTATGGCCGAACAAAACAGGGGCATTTTCGGAAATTCTTGCCAAGACCTCTACTTTGAGTTTCCAACAATAACACTCCATAAACTCATCATTATAACCACTAAACTACCATTAAATCCAACATTAATCCTTAAATCAGCAACAACAACCCCAAGTGTGGGAATACCAAGAGCCCACTCATTTCATTTTCACCATAAACAAGCTAACTAAGTGCATGCATGAGCTTAATCTTGCTATATAAATTCCAAAAGACAAGAATCCAAGGGTTGATCATTACCTATTCCTTGGGTGTGCAAGATCAGAAATTCCGGCCCTCTTGAAGCTCCAAGAACCCGTGAAGATGCAGCCTTTTGTTAGCTAAATCCAACCTCCAAGAGGTTTGCTAAGTGGTCTCCAAGTTTGGTGTGATTTGGAGGTGATTTGGGGTAGTTTTGGTTGAGATTAGTGTGCAGAATTTTTGTTGCAAATGAGTTAGAGAGAGGGAGTGTTTTGGCCGGCCATGAGGAGAGGGAAGAGAGAGTGTGATTTTGATCTAAGTTGGCTTCTCAAAGAAGATTAAATGTGTGGTGAAAAATTGCTCCAAAGTCAACTCTTGTAAGGCTCGTTTGGCACGTTTTTAGGCTCGATTTTCTCGCGCGTTTGGTTCACTAGTGCACTAAATCTCTAATGCACTCATGTTAATATAAACATTATTCACTCTTAATTGTCTCGAAACAAGGGTCTAAAGTTCCTCAAATAAAGTCGCGCGTGTGAAAACGCGTACCGCCAATTTTACCGCTATAACGCGAAACTTCCGGGAAATTCTTATAACGATAGTACTAATAACTATCACTTGAGTATTTAAACATTAAAATACCGAATTTAGGTCCATTATACATGTCTCCAATATTCCAAACTTATTGTACTCTCAAGCGGATAAAATCTTCAAGCACTATTCACTGTTTTTACTAAACGCGCTCCAGGAAATTAATTCATGAAATGAGTTACTTTAAAAATATAACGAAGTTATATTACCATGTATTTAGGTCTAATAAGACTAGAAAATATTCCTCGAGGCAAATATCCAATTAAATAATTTATTAAGCCACAAATTAGGCTAAAAAAAAAAAATAATAGTTTTTACGAGTCCTCACAACCTCCCCTCCTTAAAAGAATTTCGTCCTCGAAATTCATACCTTCTGTAATCTCAGACAACTCTGAACCATGTGGTGTGTTCATGTTATGCTTTCTTTCTGATGCCATTGGTCGGTTTCTCCTTCCATTGACTTGTCGAGGGACAGTTCCATTTCCTTGTGGAGCAGTAGTTTCTCGTGGATACCTCCTTGGACAGTCATGAACTTTATGGTTGGTACTCCCACACCCCATACACTTTCGTCCCTTTAGCCAACAGTTTTCTTCAATGTGATTCGTCCTTCCACAATATCCATAAGTCGGACGAGGTGTTGTGACCTGACTGGCTTGCGAGGTTTTCTTTGATCGTGTCTGTTCTACTGAAGTCCCTCGCGACATAGTTCCTTTTGGTTCCTTTATCATGAGTGGTGCAGGAAATAACAGTCCTACTCCATCCACTTCTTTTCTAACTTTGGGTGGTGGTCCATTTCCTCCTAGTGTACTATCAAATGCATCTCTTTTCCTTGCTTGGAGAGCTCTCAGTTGAGATTTTGTGCTTTCTACCCTTTGCGCTTTTTCGAGAGCGTCACTAAATGTTTCAACCTGTGCTGCAGCAAGGGCATCTTGGATTTCCAAATCTAATCCTTGGATAAACCTTCTTATTCTCTTCCGTTCAGTAGCCACCAATTCTGGGGCATATGTAGATAACTTTGTAAAGCGTGTTTCATACTCAGCTACGCTCAAAGTTCCTTGACGAAGCTTTATAAAATCATCTTCTCTCTTTTCTTGGACAAGTGGAGGAAGAAATTTCTCATTAAATTCACGTACAAAGTTTATCCAAGTCCTTAGGGTTTGATCTCTTTCCCACTTGTTTCTTATAACATTCCACCAGGCTCGGGCTGCTCCTTCAAGTTGAAATACAGCAAAGGTGACTTGTCTCTCCTCTGTGTAATCCAAGGCATCGAATATATTTCTTATATTCTCTAACCAATTCTCAGCCACCTCTGGATCAGGTCCTCCAGCAAACTTGGGCGGGGAAAATTTTTGAAACCGCTCTAAAGCTCGATCCTCCCCTATCTCTTGGTTTCCACGTTGGTTTCCTTGTCCAACACCTTGACCTTGTTGAGCTACCAAGAGCTCCAGGATATCCGTTATGCGAGTTAAAACTTGTCCCATTTGGTCATTTCCTCTCCCAACACTTGACTCAACGTTTTGATCAATACCGGACCCATTAGCTACTCTTTCATTTCGGGGTTGTCTAGGTTGACGTCCCTTTCGTTGTCCTCTAGTTTCCATGTTCACAACTAATCTATACGCACATGCATAACCCTCACACTTAGTTAAAATTGAACTATACTCATATACCAGTAGCAACATTTAAAGAGAATGAAGTCACTTACACAAATAACATTATCACTATGCAAGTAAACACAAACTAGAGTTCATTAAATTATAAAACAAGTTATGGCCAAGTAAAGTTCATGCCAAGTCAAAGTCAATAGCAAAATAAACAAGTGATCATCACAAGTACATTCATCTTCAAGGCGCAGACTCTAAGTTCTACTCCCATCGTCTCACTATAAAAGATCACAAGTAGGGATTCACTAGATTATTGGAACTAGACGATTCTCATTCCCTAACATGCTCGATTTCAATCCCAACACAAGGATCTTTTGAGTTACAATATTTTCCATCTTCCACTCTTAATTATTGTACCATCTTAACCAAACAATTATTGGTTTCCTGCAACCATTCACATGAAATATCGATTCATTCTTATTCCCCAAAAATGGAGATATAAAGTCCTTATGGTTGCCCTCAACTCTCAAGTACTCGGGTACAAGAATCCGAAATAAGGTAATTCACAACTCGAGCCGGCCGGTCCCAAGACTAAATCACCACATTCGAGATTCCTACCCAACATACATATCAAATTCCCTCCAATTATCAAGATAAAGGTTTTACAACCTATAACATTCATGATTCACAGCTTACATTTTTTTTTTGAAGGGCACTTAAACCTTTACTCAATCACATAGTAAGGACCATAACACCACTTGGTCCTATCTTGCTCCTTTGTAGAGACCACGTGAATTGGCTCTAAATTTCATTGCTACAAGCAATCATTTAACTTTCAAACCAGTCCCACAGTCCGGCATCCTAAACATTTAAGCCTAGGATACACTACAAAGATCTGAAGCCTAAGCTCTGATACCAACTGTGACGCCCCCACTTCTCCCTAAGGCGAACCAAAGGGTATCCGCGGGACGCCTGCCCAGCTCTCGCCGGGACTCACTACAATCGATCATTCAAAAGCTCGAAATACTTTAAGTAACCTCAATACATAATTAAAGTACTTCGAATATCTCACACTTACAATTATGCAGCTTTCAAGCTTAAATACAACCCAATGGAAAAGGGGTACTATAGCCATCCGTTATAATATAACTTAAAGTCTTCAAAAGAAAACAATCTAGTACTACTCACGAGCACCCTTGGTCTCGAACCCTGTAAAAGAAATCCACAACGTGGTATGAGCTACACAGCCCAGTGAGGTTCCAAGACACTTTAACAGTTCAAATAAATCAAATAAGTTGGGCATATCATACGCATGGTTCAAGGTTACACAATGGCATGTTATCATGAGGCAATAATCATTGTACAGGTAATTTGAGACATTTATCATGGTATGAGACATTGGCATGTATAGTTCACGAGTGATTGGAGCTTATTACAGGCATAGCTCAGGATTTCATGTTGGCATTTTAGCACGAAACAATTATTATGATACAAGGTAAACATATACTGTAGGATACGGTGTTCCAGTGGAACTCTGTCGGTCATCTGCACCTTATGACTTCCGGATCCCCTCGGTTTGACTGGCCATCACCTTATCCCTCCAGTGGTAATACTCGAGTATACCGAAACGGTTGTCCAGGGTTCCAACCTACCCGATCGAGCCCAGTCCTGGCTCGAGTAGGTCAGTAACCGAGGCAGGGCCCGAGTTCAGCTTAGAGCTTACAACATGCACAAGTAATCAAGTAATTCGACAAAAGGTAAAATTCATCATTTGAGTAGGTCGAGTGAGATAAAGTACACACTCGCCTAACAATGATGGACAACTTCATATAATATGTGATTCATGATAATCAAGTGATCAAGTGGATACTTAGCACGTAAGCACGTAAGCAATACAAGTTGATTTCATGGGAGCATATAATTCACGGATATCGAATAATCATATAGATTAGAAATCATATGAGCAAATAGTCAGGTAATCAGGTAGTCATGTGGGTTGGTAAACGGTTCACGGTTAACGGTTAACTGTTCACGGTTGACGGTTAATTGACAAGCATTGGTCATATGCATAGGCCATCATTGGCCGTTATCCCATTTTTTACCACGTGAGAGTCGAGGAGATTCACTCCAACGACGTATGCAACCTTAGCATACCAAGTCATGTTATTCGAGTATTTTCAAGCATGAATTATTCATCTCAAAAGAGAAAGAGTGCGATAAAGTACACACTCGACTCCATTTTTCAAAACCAAGTAGACTAAGTAAACAATCTAGCAAGTTAAGCATGTATCGAGTTCATATGGTCATTTGATATGGTTAATGATTTAACCAATTCATGTAGATATACAATGCAAGTATACATTCCTTAAATAGGCATGAGTATGGTAAATACTTAACACATAGCACTTAATAATCATGAAATAAGCGTGTCCTAGACTTATTCAATTACGTATTCCTATATGGAACACTCACCTAGTCAAAACAAGCGAGTAGTTTTCAAACAAGCGTTTTAGGTGTCCGCTCCGAGTTCCCCTTGGAGATTCCCTCGAGTGCCTGAGTAAACAACCATTAACTATTATACACTATCACTTAGAACTCCTACTTATCAAAGAAGGTTGTACAATCTAAAGGGAATTCATGAATTGGGCCTTAATTATTAATAATCGAGGCTCAAGAGTAAAGTTTTAAAGTCTAAAGAAAGAGACTAACATTTTTCATGAAATCGAGTTCAAAATGTTCAATCGGTATCGAGAAAAGAAGGCAAGTTTCCAAAATCTCATTTCTAAGAAATTGTCAAATTTTAGCTTTGGGTGTCAATTCTAGAAAAATCGTATCTTGCACTACGTAGGTCCAAAATTGGAAAGCTTGATACCATTGGAAACTACATTCCGAGTACTACAAGTTTCTAGAAGACACTTTTCCATGATTCGAAATGGAAGGTATTCAAAAGTTGGATCAAAGTTACAGCTGTAGAATACTAAGACAGTTTCAAGGTTGGTTTTTGGCCAATTTTGGAAATTCAGTAAAATTCACTTGTTTTGAACTAACCTTTGAAATTTGGAAATCAAATAGTGTTGCAATCCAAGAGTATAACAAAACAAGCGGATTGAGAAACGGAGTTTCGAGCACCAAGATATAGTAGCCCCAAGTTGAGGAAGATTCAAGACTGAAGAAGAATTTCCAGTTTTGAACCTCCAACACTAGAAATTTAATTGGGTATCGAAACGAACTTGGATTGGTACCAAAATTGGCAGTATTTTACTCCCATATGAAAGGTACCACTCTATCAAATTTCAGGGAAAAATACTTTCGGTAAGATAGTTAATTAGTCAACCAAAGTTCAGGAAAATTATAAGGCAATCTGCCTTTGACTTTCATTTCCAATTTCCAATCGTCTAACCAAGAAAGTTATCCAACCATGGTTCATTTGTGAAATAAGGGTCTAAGATACACCCATAATATCTTTGGTAAGTGTTTAATATCAAAAACATCAACTAACAAGTTCATTCCAAGATTTGGTTCCAAACCAGTCCCAACATTAGGGTTTTCCAAAACAGAGCAGTCCACTTGTTTCAGTCACAACTCAGTCAATATAGCTCGAAATTGAGCATGGCTTACGCCGTTGGAAAATACATTCATAGTACTAAAACATCACAGAAGAAGTCATTCCCAAATTCGGCACCCATCTGGTTCAAATTCGGGCATCAAGTTGCTGCCTGAACACTTCATTCCAGACGAACAGAGCAACAGGACAGCGAACTTAAAACATTTGGTTCGGCTTGCTCACAAGGAATCAGAACGTGTTTTTATACCAAATTAAAGCTAGGAATGTCTAGTTTCAAACGCCACCGACGGCACATGATTTCGACATCCGAGGACAGAGTTATAGCCAAAATGCCAACGCTGGACAGTGCAATACGGAACAGATTTCCAGATTGCCACTTCTAGGAGAAAAATTCATTTGACCCACCAAACGTTAATGTTTTCCAACGAAAATTTTTACACACATAATATAACATATATACATCAGGTTCATGCCAATAGATCACCAAAAATGGGCCTTCTTATGGCCGAACAAAACAGGGGCATTTTCGGAAATTCTTGCCAAGACCTCTACTTTGAGTTTCCAACAATAACACTCCATAAACTCATCATTATAACCACTAAACTACCATTAAATCCAACATTAATCCTTAAATCAGCAACAACAACCCAAGTGTGGGAATACCAAGAGCCCACTCATTTCATTTTCACCATAAACAAGCTAACTAAGTGCATGCATGAGCTTAATCTTGCTATATAAATTCCAAAAGACAAGAATCCAAGGGTTGATCATTACCTATTCCTTGGGTGTGCAAGATCAGAAATTTCGGCCCTCTTGAAGCTCCAAGAACCCGTGAAGATGCAGCCTTTTGTTAGCTAAATCCAACCTCCAAGAGGTTTGCTAAGTGGTCTCCAAGTTTGGTGTGATTTGGAGGTGATTTGGGGTAGTTTTGGTTGAGATTAGTGTGCAGAATTTTTGTTGCAAATGAGTTAGAGAGAGGGAGTGTTTTGGCCGGCCATGAGGAGAGGGAAGAGAGAGTGTGATTTTGATCTAAGTTGGCTTCTCAAAGAAGATTAAATGTGTGGTGAAAAATTGCTCCAAAGTCAACTCTTGTAAGGCTCGTTTGGCACGTTTTTAGGCTCGATTTTCTCGCGCGTTTGGTTCACTAGTGCACTAAACCTCTAATGCACTCATGTTATATAAACATTATTCACTCTTAATTGTCTCGAAACAAGGGTCTAAAGTTCCTCAAATAAAGTCGCGCGTGTGAAAACGCGTACCGCCAATTTTACCGCTATAACGCGAAACTTCCGGGAAATTCTTATAACGATAGTACTAATAACTATCACTTGAGTATTTAAACATTAAAATACCGAATTTAGGTCCATTGTACATGTCTCCAATATTCCAAACTTATTGTACTCTCAAGCGGATAAAATCTTCAAGCACTATTCACTGTTTTTACTAAACGCGCTCCAGGAAATTAATTCATGAAATGAGTTACTTTAAAAATATAACGAAGTTATATTACCATGTATTTAGGTCTAATAAGACTAGAAAATATTCCTCGAGGCAAATATCCAATTAAATAATTTATTAAGCCACAAATTAGGCTAAAAAAAATAATAGTTTTTACGAGTCCTCACACTCTTGTGAGTCGAAGTGGAGCTGGTCGAGGAAATAATTGTAGAAACAGTGGCAAAAATAGGACTGGTGGGACTGCTGGTCATGGACAATACAACTCAAATCAACGAGTCTGTTATTACTGTAAGAAATCTGTTAACCCATCTTCTAGTACCAATCCTCCTATTGATCACTCAAGTAAACCTACAACATGCCTTGTGCCATCTTCTAATAAATGGGTCATCGATTCCGGTGCAACAGATCATATGACCGGTAATAAAGGTATTCTCTCCTCTTTTAAACCTAACAAAGATCATCCGACTGTTACTTTGGCTGATGGATCATGTGCTTCAGTTGTGGGTTATAGTTTAGCAATCCCTATGTCATCTATCCCCTTATCTTTAGTCTTATGCTTACTTAATTTTTCTTTTAATTTACTCTCAGTTAGTAATATTACAAAAGCTCTCAAGTGCTCTGTCTCATTCTTTCCTGAATATTGTGTTTTTCAGGATCTTATGATGGGAAAAATTATTGGTAAAGGATGCGAGTCTGGCGGCCTGTATACACTTGAAACCCCTTCAATGAAAGTGCCGAAACCTGTTACATGTTCATCCACCTTGAATCCGCTTGAAGTTCACTGTCGTTTGGATCATCCATCTCTACCCACTTTGAAGAAGTTTCCAAATTTTCAGAATTTATCCCATTTAGATTATGAGTCGTGCCAATTTGCCAAACATTATCGTTTGCCTCACTTGCCTAGAGTCAATAAACGGGTTGCTTCCTCCTTTGAATTAGTGCACTCTAATATATGAGACCCTTGTCCAATAGTATCTAAATTTGGTTTAAAGCATTTTGTCACCTTTATTGATGACTACTCTCGTGTTACTTGATTATATTTAATGAGAAATCGTTCAAATTTATTTAGTATCTTTTGTTCCTTTTGTGCTAAAATAAAAACACAATTCAATGTGTCTGTCCGCCTTTTGCGAAGTGATAATGCAAAAGAATACTTTTCTAAACCCTTTAATTCATATATGCTAAAAAATGGAATCCTTCACCAATCTTCACATCCTGACACACCACCACAAAATGGTGTTGCTAAAAAGACAAGATAGGCACTTATTAGAAGTTGCTAGAGCCCTCCTATTTCACAAGAAAGTTCCTAAACAATTTTGGGCAGATGCTGTTTCAATACCCTGTTTTTTCATTAATCGCATGCCATCTTTTGCGTTTGCTGGTGAGATTCCTTATTCAATTTTTTTCCAACCCAATCTTTATTCCCCATCGAGCCATGTATATTTGGGTGTACTTGTTTTGTTCATGATACCAATCTCCAGGCGTCTAAATTAGATTTCAAGTCTCAAGTTTGTGTTTTCGGGTTATTCATGTCTTCAAAAAGGGTATAGATGTTATTCTCCAATTTTAGATCGTTATTTAGTCTCTGCTGATGTTATATTTTTGAGACACATCTATTTTTTCTTGAGTCTAATGTCTCCAGTAGCAAGGAGGAGGAAGATGATATTCTAGTCTACACTGTTATAACAACTGGTCCTACAAGACCACCAATCACTCAAGTGTACTCTCGTCATCCTAAACACAGACTCACATCCTCCACCACCTTCTCCGTCTACAAATTCGAGTCTTGATCCACTGCTTCCTCAGTCTCCAGATTCTAGTCTTAATTTGCCTATTGCTTTAAGAAAAGGTAAAAGACAGTGCACTTACTTAGTTTCATCATTTGCTTCATATGACCATTTGTCTCCCTCCTTGCATTGTTTTACTGTTTCTTTAGATTCAATATCTCTTCCTCAACACTTATTTGAGGCTTTGGAACATCCTGGTTGGCAGTCCTGGTTGGCAGGCTGCTATGGAGGAAGAAATGATGGCTCTAGACAATAATGGTACCTGGGATTGGTTCATCTACCAACAGGTAAGAAATCTATAGGTTGTAAATGAGTGTTTGCTGTCAAAGCCAATCCTGATGGTTTTGTTGCTCACCTCAAAGCTCGTCTTGTTGCAAAAGAGTATGCTTAGACATATTGAGTGGATTACTCACGTTTTTTCCTGTAGCAAAACTCACCCTGTTCGATTATTTATTTCCCTTGTTGCTACTAATAATCGGGCTTTGTACCAGTTAGATGTTAAGAATGCATTCCTTTATGGAGATTTGCAAGAGGAGGTTTATATGGAGCAACCACCTGGGTTTGTTGCTCAGCGGGAGTTTGGTGAGCTTTGTAGACTCTGAAAGTCATTATATGGCTTAAAATAGAGTCTTCGTGCTTGGTTTGGGAGATTCAGTGAGGTGGTTCAAGAGTTAGCATGAAGAAGTGTAATTCTGATCATTCCGTCTTTTATCAACAATCTAAAGTTGGTCTTATCCTACTTGTTGTGTATGTTGATGTTATTACTGGTAGTAACACTGCAGCTATTGCAGCTCTTAAAAATTTTCTTCAAAAGCACTTCCAAATAAAGGATTTGGGTATGTTGAAATACTTTTTAGGCATTTGAGGTTACAAGGTGTAAACAAGGTTTCTTCTTATGCCAAAGAAAATATGTCCTTGATCTTTTGAAAGCAATAGGAAAGCTAGGTGCCAAGCCATGTACTACACCAATGATCCCCAACATGCAACTTACAGCAGATGATGGGGAGTTATTCTCAGATCCTGAAATGTATCGGAGATTAGTGGAGCAATTGAATTATCTTACTGTGACTCGTCTGGACATTGCATATTCAGTTAGTATTGTGAGTCAATCTATGTCCTCACCAAGAACCACCCATTGAGCAGTTTTAGAGCAAATCTTATGTTACTTTAAAGGAGCTGCAGGACGTGGTATACTATATGGTAATCATAGCCATTCTCATGTTGAATGCTTCTCAGATGCAGATTGAGCAGGTTCTAAAATTGATCAAAGATCTACATCTGGATATTGTGTCTTCGTTGAAGGTAATTTGGCATCATGGAAAAGTAAGAAACAAAATGTAGTATTTCGCTCAAGTACGGAGTCTGAATACCGGTCTATGGCACAGTCCACTTGTAAGCTTATATGGATACATCAATTATTGTGTGAGATGGGAATCAATAATTCACTTCCAGTGAAGTTATGGTGTGACAATCAAGCTGCCCTTCATATAGCATCAAATCTAGTTTTTCATGAGAGAACAAAGCATATCTAAGTTGATTGCCACTTTGTTCGCGATAAAATTCAGCAAAACCTGATCTCAACCAGTCATGTGAGAACTGGAGAGCAGTTAGCTGATATTTTCACTAAGCCTCTAAATGGTCTGAGAGTTGATTATATTTGGAGCAAGATGGGCATGGTTAACATTTATGCTCTATCTTGAGGGGGAGTGTTGAAAATATGTGATCCGATATTGTAAAAATCATAAATATATGATTTGATATTGTAGATATTAGGAAAGATTAGATTTGATTAGATTAGATTTGTTTTGATTATAGTATCAGATATTAGAAGATATGATTAGATTATAGATTGATTTAGATTAGCATGATTTTAGGATCTAAATTAGGTTACACTTGTGTATATATTTGTACATTGTGTAGTCTAAAAGAATACTGAAGAAGAGTGTTTTCTCTCCCTTTTTAGTTTTCACTCTTGCCAGCTGTTACTACACCAGGACACCACCACAACATGATGACCTCTACATCCCTACCACCTCATTGTCATAGCATCCCTAATCTGAGTTACACAGGACTCGAAAGGCAATGCAAACGTAATGCTGAAAAACTGAGGTCTCTCCCAACATGGATTTAGACACAAAGCCCCAAAGCCACTTTTGTCACCTAAACTTCCTAATGCACCATCAATTCTCCTAATTAGCTTGAAAAAATGAAAAAAACACTTAAAAATTCACAGTTTTAAACGTGATATTTGCCCCTCAAGTTCCACCAATCTCACACTCCCACACTCCATGATATTAACTGATGATATTACTATTCCTAAATTAATGTCATACTTAATTCTATCTCCCGCTCCTTTTTGGAAAATATTCCAGTTTTTTTGGTAACCAAAATTTCCCAAAACTATGAAGACATGGCCCCATCAATTCTGGGGTGTTTGTGTTTGTTAATCCCCAGAATGGACCCAAGGGGTGTGATTGCCAAGGAGAATCTTACTCCAGTTTAGAGGGCTCTGTTTTGACTCTAAGAAGTTGTTGACACCTGACTGCAGGTGCAACTTGGTTTCAGAAACCTGGTTTCTCATACAGGGATGATGGTGAAGAATATGCTGAAGGATGAGAGGAAGAATTGGGTATGAATGCTAGTGCACTTTTCAGAAGTGAGGGATGGGCTGACTGGCAGGCTCAAGCAGTTGGTGGTGGCTTGTTTTGTCAGTGAAGAAGTTTGGTTGGAACAGGGTGGAATTAAAGGGCTAAACTCAAAGGACTGGAGAGGTATAGTCAGGGGAGGGCAGTGAGGGAAGAGCACAAGTCGGTGGTAATGGGTTCATTTTGTAAGCCCTGCATGATCATGTTTAGAACAATATCCTACAAAAATGCTGCTCAGTAACTAATGCTGCTCAGTAACTATTTTGCAATATCAGGCATCTAAATGTCTTTGCCTACAACAACAGAGATGCATAATTCACCTGCCGCATACGATTCTTATCGTATTCTGTTTCGAAGTACCTGTGTTGATCTAAATTTTTGAAATCAATATGATGGTGCCAGTCTTGACGTTTATAGCTAAACTTCAATGATTGCCAAGGTAGAACTACTTCTATGGTCACTTTTAACTAATTCTAGGCTTCCCCTAATACAGAACATGAAAACAGGCACAGACTGTAAAGTGTCATCTGCATTATGTAAGTAACAGACAGTTATACTCCCTGAACACCTTCAAAAAATGTCAAAGCCTTTTACCATGTGTATATTAAGTAATTTAGATGCTAATCCAACTAGATGGTAAATTTGATGTAAGCATTTCAAAATAGATTACTATTAATTTAGCAAGAGGAAAGAGGATTTTATGATGCCATGCAGAAACAAAAAACGTGAGCTGAACTCCAAGTTAACAAATTAACAACTGAGCAAGAGAAGCTCTGATCAGTTGATTTCTCTGCTTTAAATCTGGGTCTAGGACAAGTTGATAATTGTTCACCAAGAAATCTGAGAGGTGCTTTCTTGGAAACTCTGCAAGCCCCAACATGACATGAGATTGAAATAGGCCCAACTTGGAAACTCTGCAAGCCCCAATTCTGTTGGACAGTCCAAGAGTGATCTTTTAGCATCCCCGGCCCAAATTTTACTTGTTAATATTGGCTAATTGAGGCCTTGTTTTTGAGTTTATGCATTGTAACACTAGCACTTCCAGAAAAAACACTTAGCAGTAAAGCTCTTTGAACTAAATAACCAAGCTAATGTTACATAGTAGATTACTTCATAGTGAAGTAGAATCAACTAATGGTTGTATACAAGGTCCAACTGCTCTAAAAAAGGGATGCAGCTCACTGTGAAGAAAAGCTTTTGTCAAAAATAACATTTGGTGAGATACAAACCTCTTAAGGAACGATTCCTTTGTTTCCTAGGAAGAGTTTGCTAGTTTCCTTTGATCCCAATGTCTCAAAATCCCTTTTTTTGATTTCATCCATACTATTGAAATAGATTTGTTCCCTTAGCATCTTGCATTCAAAATTTAGTTTAGATTCAAGAAAAAACCACTGCATCAAATCAGTAAATTCCTAAAAAAGTACGAAGTCCCACTGAAACTGACTGAACTGACAAAAGTTCTGTCAAATTATACAGCATACGCTCCTAGATACTCCATGAGCAAGACTAAATAGTAACTGGCATAATAGTACGAGTAGCATATACCTTAAATAATCCAACCTGAAGTCAAATTCCAAACTATGCTCAACTTCCTCAGGTATTTAGAATGTTACATTAGTTCCATCAGTCTGAAAGAAACTCTGCCCCAATCAGATGAGACAGTTCAGTCCCTTTTCATTCTGTCCTGAATTACATGATACCTTACGCACTCATGCCCCCCAACCCAAATTAATAGTTGGAACTTCCCAATGGTCAAATATGCAATAGAAAAAGTTCTAATAGTAAATGAAGAGTGGAAATGTCAAACCTTAATAGTAAGATAGATGTACATCTCCATCACTAACCTTCTTTGAGCTTAGGACAATAGGAAGCTTGTGAGAACTGAATCTTGAGATTCTGTTGCCTCTGGATTTTGGAGAAGGGATGTCAGAAAGAATTATGCCACCATATTCTTTAATTAGACCCTCAAATTGCTTTTCCTTTTGAATAGAAAATCCTGTTAGCAAGAACTCCATATTCCGGAATAGAAGCCTTAGCCATTTATTGCTGAAACAATTTCTTTGACACCTTCTCTGCTCCTGACCTCCAGAGTCGCAATGTCGATTAGTAGTTCTCAATTTTTTACTAGCTCTACTTGTATGAGCTACAAAAAATACAGCAATAATTCTCATGATAATCTCTTAAACGTTTAAACTAAGGCTAAAAGACTGAACAAAATCTTTCTTACAATCCTTTAGTGATGCTCGGTACTTTGAAAGTTTCTTCTTTGGGAAATTATTGGTGCCAGCGTCCACAAAATGTACACGCTTCCTTGCTGGTATTTGGGAAGAATTTTGATTTTCACAAGTAGACTGCACCTTAGGCAGCTTTTTGTTATGCGCAAAAACCTCAGAGCCACCCTGCATTGCAGACTTTTCTTGTCTGTGGTCAAGTATAGGAGTTGACATCTTCTCGTTATTCCATAAATACATGGTAAAAGGACCATTCTCCACAGGCTTGTTGAAGCTTTTAATGCCAGTCAAATTGGAGAAAGGATTCTCCATCATTGACAATTTTGGCATGGTTTCAGTTGGAAAAGTTCCACGGCAAGAATTTTCTTTCGCCAAAGAACCACCAGGATTACCAGCCATTACGCTATAAGGTTTCAGAGAGGTGAACTGGCGATGAACCACAGGCAGCAATTCAGAATAGGTCACTGGGACAATATGCTGTTCAGCATGAACCAACTCAACTGCAGTAGATGTCCTCTGCAAATTGTCTGTTGTATATTCTGGCTTTGCTATGGAACAATTTCCAGAAATGTCATGTTCATGTTTCAAAAGTGCAGTGGAGCAAATGTTTTCCGATGAGAAACTACAGGCAACAACTGAGCAAAGAGGATCACCAACTGATAGGCTTGAACATCTCATGACATCCTGAGAGTTTATTTCCCTGTCTGCTTTGTTGCAATAGATTTCAGAAGGAATGCTTGCTTGAGAACTGGGATTGGTTCTTTTAGATCGTTTCTGAAGAACTGAGTTCTCATCTAGAGCAACATCAGCAGATTCTGATAAATAGCTCATCTCATTCACAAAAGGTTTAGGAATGCCTTGAATCTCTCGATGTTCCATTTGAGCAAATGGCTTCTCGTCCTCCTAGGTATTGTGAAAATTCATTATTCTAAAGAATCCAATTGGAGAAAAAGTTTATACAAAAATAAGTCTCTAACTTCTTGTGGATTATAATTTACTAGCTAAAAGGTTAATGCCAAGTGCATACAAACTATAAGTCAGTGAAGTCCTTAATTTCTAGAAAAGAGCATGCAAAAGAGAAATAAACAAAGCAAGTCTAAAGCACTGAGACAAGTAATTAATTTCTATATAAACTTCTGGAGTTTGTTGCTGGGTATTTGATGCTAAAAAGTACCAGAAATTCACGTCTAGAGCACATAAGTTAATGCTGCTAAATTGATGGGATGAAGTATAAAATGTTCATACCAGAATTAGTGAAAACAACTTTTTATAGCTGGAAAGAAGAAAAATCAGCACAATACAATCAGAATGCAAAAATATCTCGCTGGAAAGAACCAAATTTTAGCAAATGGTAGGCTCTGAATCACATGCTGAGGTATCCACTCATGTTATAGACTAACAATTATAAAATTTTGCAATTTCCTGCACAAAGGCTAACAAATTTTCTGCAGCCCTACCATCGCATACGAAGGCTTTATCCTTGTAAAACATGCTGTGGCCTCTGGAGTTACAAATGGAGCAAGTTTATTATTGCATCAATACTTTCCATTCGCATTTTGATATTTCATATTGCTTCTCAAAAGCACAAGTTTAAAAACCAGAGAAAAATGTATGAGGAAGTATTCTCCCCATGGAAATTTAAGCTTTCACATTTCTTACAGTGTAAACAATTTGTAAATAGCAATTACTAAAGAAGGTATAACAATGTAAATGGAAGAAGGATGGATCTGTAAAATGTAATTTACTCTAATAATCACCTTCCATGCCCAACCACCTAACCAACGACTTTGAAATCTTCTCGGAAGAAAATTCACTGCAGTACTATATTTTTCTGCAAAGAGAAATGAAAGAAAAAGATAAGCAGAAGTACTTTGTCTTGATGGAATGATGAAGAGCCAGAAGGAAGCACAAAGTTCACCAGAAGCTTCAGAAGTCCTAGTGAAAGAAGACTGTGCATGTGCATGACGGCAATCATCCTTACCCACACCATAGTCAGCTAGCTGCATCGAGGAAGCAAAATTTAATTATTTTTTAATAGAAGTTATGAATGTAATAATTCCAATAAAATCATTAATCTTATGTTATTCTTGTAATTTTATTAACAATTTCATTGATCAGCTAAAGCGAACATATGCTTTACATGTTAAACTAAATTTGAACTTTACAAGTGATCTACCTCCACTGAAGCTGAAACTTGAAGATTTTCCTGCTCTGAGCAATCCACTGGAGAACTAGTGGAACAATCTTTACTGGCTGAATCCAAGCATACAGAAGAGTTCTTCAGAAGTTCCTTGCATCTATTACCACAGAAAATTTCTGAAGCTGAAATCTCTTCCACTTTCATTTCATCATGTAAGCCCTTGTCTGCTATTTGTACCTCAAAATCATCAAGAGTTTTCACAAAACCAATAGTCTCTTCATGTTCCGAATTTCCTTCATGTCTATGATTTTCCAAGTCAAAAGTATCTTTAACCTGAGATACATCGTTTTCATGTATTGAGGGATCTATTGACAAACCAACATTCTCATACGCATCTTCCACAGTCAAATCATGCATGACTGAATGGAAATCCATTTCACCTATGTGCATAGATGAACATTGAGAGGTCTCATTCCAAATATCGAGCCGTGCTTGCTTCAGCTGAATTGCAGCTTCCAATACCATTGTAGCCAGAAAAGGTTTTGTAACTATTCCAGTCATAATTTCGTGAATTACCAGAGCTTCAGATGCTGCAATAGACAGTTCCACTGCTTCACTGATATCATCAACTTGACAAAATCCAACATTTCCTTCGTGCCTCGGAATATGGTTTTCATTAAGACATCTAGAATTTGGAGAATGATTGACAAAGAGAGGATTGCATCCCACATCGGAGTGGTTGATTTTCCCTTCCGAAACTACTGACATTCCAACAGGTTGCTTCAAGACTACCCTATTTGAAACAAGCCCTTGTACTTGAGATGAATCTTTTAGGGGATTTGCCAGGCACTCAGAGTTAGAATCAGCTGATAGGTGAAGATGGAAATTAATCACCTACAAATGACAAGAGACTTCAACTTACTGGATAACAGCTAAAAAATCACCAAAGAGGTACAGAAAGAAAGGTGGCAACAATAGCTGGTAAAACAAAGAAACTACTGCTAAGTTCATGCTCTTTTCCAAATTCTCCATTGAACCTTTCTGTTTTCTTTTTGATGGAGATTCAAAGATAAAAAAAACTAAATAAGTTGTAAGAAGAATTCTGGTAAAACCTTTCAGCCCTAAGGCAAAAAGAAAACACATCAACAACTATTAAGCTTTGACATGTCTGCTGTTTCTCACTCTTAGCAACCATCCCCACAACCATCACAACTCTGCCCCCAACACCTTCTTTTTGTCCTTGTAGCTATTGTTTTTCTCCTTTTCACTGGCCCAGTTACAGATAGCTTGAACTACATCCATTTTACAGCCTAAATGGATGTCATTTCATATGAAACGTATTCTCTTTTCATCAGGCTTCTTAAACTTATTTCTGTTGACAAGCACAACTTAGTTTGAAGATTTGCAGACGTGAATGGGAGAAAAAAATTTTAGTAAATCAGTAATTTTCTCCTTCCCAGTCTCTTCAATGAGATGTCGCAGCATTAATATTAGAATGATAAAGATCCCTTCTTAGTAGCTTTAATTCAAGAGGAAATTCAAGTACAGATAGAGATATGTATAACTCATCAATTTAACCTGAAGCTAGGAAAATAATAATAATACAACTATAGTTTCACCAAAAACTGGACAGTCTCAATGAGAAGGTAGGCCCCCCCCCCTTCATTATGATGATAATTTGATACCTACATAACAGCATTGCAATGGTTATTGATACAGGTATAAAAGAGAAAATCATACCAGAGCATTCAAAATGATGGATTATCAAACACACCAATTTCCAGAAGCTTGTACAAATAGCACGCAAAGGGTAGAATTAGCTCTAGACCATCAGGAATTTGAGTGAAGAGTGAATTTAACAGCTAAAAATAGAAGAATATTAGCAGCCTTAATAAAATTGTTTTGGGAAAAGAATTGCATCACTGAAATAAAAGCATCTCCTTGTGGTGAAAAAGAGAGGTGTAACGTGGGAAACTCTAGCAAACATTTTATCTGGTCTGTGAGACAACAATCATTCAAACCCACTATTCGCATAACCATGAGGCCAACTCTCATATTTAAACCAAGTATTGACATAACCATTCGTCCAATCGCATTTTCGTTGAATCCATATCACTGATTACAATGCTTGGTATGTGACTCAGGAAATGACGATTGTCACCGCAATCAGATAATAATGCATAGTAATGCCATGAAAGCAAATTTAGTATTTTTTATATAGCATTTTTTTTTCCTTCTCAAAATTCTAAAACACGCAGAGGCAGTTCACATAAAGCCCAATCATACCTATTTAACCTCATCCTAAAGCTTCTGCATTGGCCTCAAACAAGGTTAAGCAGAATCTTAAATTGACCATAAATAAATCTTGAAATGGTCAAAATCAGACTAAATAAGTGCAGAACAACTCATGAAGCAGTTTATCAAAGCTAAAATCCACTCAAATAAACCTTGAAAAAGAAAAAAAATAAGAAACGAAAAACTGAGGATAAAACTATAAAACTAGACATGCAAAAGCCAGTTAGATTTTTCCGCAAATAAAGTTTAAATGCTCTTTCTTTGTATCCATAGAAAGGTGTTGTTTTACTCGAATGCATATACATAAAGTCAAAGCTATCATCATAATCGTTGTAGCACCAGAATGTCTTAATGTTAAGTAACACAATTCTAGTGATCCATAAGACCAGAACTTGACACCATTATCTAGTACTTTCCAAAGCATTATAAGCTCATAATCAATTATCTAGAAAATCCTATACCAATAAGAGTAAATTTTTAAAAGAAAAAAATGCATAAAAGTATCAATTTTAATAGCTGACCAAGCTCATATTTGTCTCACAGCTTAACACGTTTAGATATCCAAATGTCCCAAGAAAAGTATCAGACAAAGAGAAATCCCCAAATTCTTTGATAAATAGATAAACAACAAAGATACATATACCAAAGATTAAATACTTCTTCAAATGTAAAGCATAAGACTATAGTCTCTGGTTTCACTTAAAACCACATCCAAGAACAAAATGTGTTCACAAAGAACATACAGTATTATCAAGTATGAGATATTTACTGAAAAGATTTCTTTTTTGACAGGAACGCTTCATTCTTTCATGAACGCATAAAGAACTTACATTATCATTAGATGCTGCAAAGCAATGAGGTGAAATTTCATCCTCAGATAACAACAAATGACAACTCTTATAACCACCTTCACCACTTCTTGACAGATTGGCATTTTCCTCCTTGTTGATCTCTTGCTGCAACAATTGCAATTCCTGTAACATTGGAATCATAGTTAATGATTAATATCATCTTTCAACCCTGACTGTAAGCAACAAATATGGCCGCAATCTCTGAATGAAGTCTAGTCATATTTTCTCCTTTTTCATGTGTTGTGGTTTTAGCAATTAATGGTTGAATGTGGGAGTTTGATTTAGGTGATTTAAATTTTCTTTACGAAGTTAAGCTCACTATGAAATGCTAAATCATATTTCCAAAGATGAATGCCTCTTGTAGAATTATTGAGGCTGTTTATGTAACACCAGAAACTGAGTTTTATTTGAGGAAAGACCGATCAAGTGAACTTTCGTGGAATGAAGAATATAATTCGGTAAACTTTTTTGCCTGACTTTTAAAAATAGAAAAAGAAAGGAAAGAAAACTTCATGAGATGGCTTATAAATAGAAATTAAAGTAAACACGAAAGGAGACAAAATATTCAGCTGGGAAACTTTTCGATTGAATGTTTTGGGAAATCATATATTAGGTGTAAGGATGACACTAAGAAGTTTAGAGAAAAAATAAAATAAAGGATGACATTAAGAAATAGACGGAAAAAACAATTCATGAGGTGGTTTATATAAATTAAATTTGAGAAGAATAGGTAATAAATACAGAACTAGGAAATGGTTCAATTGATTATTTTGGGATATTACATGTTAAGTATGTGTGATGTTAGAATTGATATTAAACAAGGAAAACCAAATGACTCACTAATCAGTCCACCAAAACAGAATGAACAAAGGTTGAGAAAATGTTGGGAAACAATATAGATTCAAGAAAAAAATGGTAAATGAAATATTAGAAAGCAAATGTGTACAGTCAGCACCTACATTTGGAAAAAATTAATTCCTTCTCAAAACATTACAACAAAATAAAGCTTAAAAAAAGAAGAAAAATAACCAAGAATATTTATGGAAACAAGGAAACGGCATATTCAAGATCAGATATCAACTTTATGTACCTTTGTTCACATTAACAGAAGTTTTATTTCTCCAAAACCAGCAATGTTTAAGTTAATATAGTCCTGTTCAATATACATCCGGTAATTCACAAAAGAAAAGAACTGCAGTAGAATAATACTATGCCAACAATACTTCTATAGTCATATATACAAATTTGGGTTGTGTATTATGTAGGCTTCAGGATAAAAATATATGGTTATGAACAACCAAGAACAATTGGACAGCTGACTAAGGAATAAAGAAGAACATCTGGCATCATTAGTGTTGCATTTTCACATCTTTCACCTATAGCTTGAATTCTTTACTCTGTCTTTTGATTTGTTTGAGCCTTATAGTCTTCACTGTAGCTAAGATAAGGAGAATTATGTGCAATTTAATTTGTAAATTAGGCTTACAATGTTTTAAGTATGCCTTAATTCAATCTTTCGTTATCTATGCAGCAAAACTGTCAACACAAGCAGCAGAGATATGTATCACTCTTGTAATGTCTAGGTGAGCAATAAACAGAGAAACATCCATATCTCAAACTCCTGCTGGTTAAACCAAATTTTATTTTGTCAGAGTTTTTTTTATTTTTTTTTATTTTTTGGCTTCAACTTTCGAAGATTAGAGTATAATCAAGTAGGCAAAATTGATTTTACTTGTCCAAATATAGAGATTATTCGTCACCTCTTGGGCTTCTGACAGACTTCTTGGTCCAACTAAACAAATTCCAAAGCACCAAATAGTTCATAATCTATCTGATTCCCCGGCAAGCTATTCCACTTTTGCAGTCTTAACAGCCTAATACTATATGCTCCTTGATGCTGAATTATCCCATTACATATTAAAAATTTTCTGATTAAGGAGCTAGATGAACGCATAACATCATTAAGTATGCCCTAGTTTCTATAATGAAATGATCAACCAAAAAATGATAATATTATGCATCCAGGCTCTGGAGTTGGAAAATCTCTCCACTGTCAACTTTAAGAATTTTGACCAGGAGAATAATTCTTTCACAAGGGCAATAATTCTCTGCCTGTTCATATATTTGATGATTCCATTTCTTGAACTGTATAGTGGCATTAACTACCCGCTTTCGAACACCATATTAAACAAAAAGTAAATAGGCAAACATAAGCATCAATTTGATTGGTCCCAGAATAATCAGTCAAAAAATAACTTTACATAATCTGAGAAGACAAAATTATTTTTAAAAAAATGGCAAACCTTAACACGTTGGTCGAAAGGGGTCTCTCCTCCATTGATGCCCTCATTAAATGGTTCCACATTCTGTTGCTGAAGCCAAATGGGGAGCCAAGCCGCATCCTACACAGCAAGATTATACAACATGCTTAACAGGTTATACCAGCCAATAGTATAGAAACCGGAAAGTGACGTGAATAGAATCAATCGACGTCATCAAAATTCGAGAACTTAAAATGGAATATCAGTCATTGAAATGGAGGGTTTCTAGTTGATACCTCCGAGAATTGAGCAGGGCGAAACGCTTCTAAGGCTGGACTCCCCATCGAAAACCTATTGAGTCAAAAAGAATCTGTGTCTCTTTCTTTCTGGTTACCAAACTGCGCCAATAGTTGGCGCCAAAACGGCATTTCTACAACCTACGTTCCCCGGGCAAATGGTTTTTTTTTTTTTTTTTTTCAATAAAGATGGGTTTAAGGTCCAACAGGAAACTGCCGAGACGAGAAATTTTAATTTGGAGCAATTACTTGGCATGGCTACCAGCTGGTCCAATGAAAAAATTTCATGTGGATATAAACATCAAACTTAGTTATTTTACATAATCAATGGGTGGGAGGATAAATAAAAAAGTTTTAAATTCAAATTCTTCCACTTATACTAAAAAAATAAATAAATAGGGTCCATTTGATATATTAAATTGAATTAATTAGGCCTTGTATTTGTACATGGAATTGTATCATTTTTTATTTTTTCCAGAAACATGAGCTTTGTTTATATTCTATATTAAAAGATTTACAAAAGATATACATTTACTGGGCAGGTACTCAAGCATCACCCTTAGATTTCATTTGCAGCCAAGGGGAGAAACATTGTTTCTAGCAAACATCATACTTAAGTTTTGAGGCAAATTTTGCCATTGAAGACATGGTTTCCTTGTTTTCTAACAAAAGGAAATATGGAATCGCTATGGCCATTCTTTAGTCTAGTTATGTCCTATATAAAACATTGAGGTAACTACTCTTCGTGTGTCCAGAGTTAATTTTTGCCACCGTCTACTTGCAATCTGACTGAAATAAATCATTGTTCCATTCTTCCTGTTATGCTCTATGTATTGTTATTCTTAAGGCCCACGCTCCTGCATAATTATTGATACGAACCCCATTGAAGAAACGAAATTCGTGAACAACAAGTCCGAACCTTTGGTGATTGACACAAGTTTTTGCCAGCAAAATTCCTATACGGACCCTTCTAATCCCCGTAATTGCGAAAGTTGATACGATCTTGACCCACAATCAAACAAACTAACGAACCCTAAGAAAGCTAGTAGATGCTACAATCAAGAGTGATGTCTTAATTAATAAGTTAGATGAATACTCAAGAAAATTCTGAAGTGTTCAAGGTTGCTCGTAGAACCAAGATAGCTTTCTCTCAAGTTAATTTTCTGGAAAATATTTCATGTGTATTGATGAAGAAAGAACTAACGGTTTTAGTGTCTTACATAAGAAATCCTAATGAAACTTGGACAATCTAGAAGCAACAATTTGGACCTTTAAATCAGGCCCATAAACCCTACTACTAGTTGTGATGCCCCCACTTCTCCCAAGAGCGAACCCAAGAGTATCGGTGGGACGCCTGCCCAACTCTCGTCAGAACTCGATACCATTCCAATCCAAATTTAAGATAAATAACCAAATAAAAAAATGAACTGAAAACCAAGTCGCTTCGTTATACAAGTGTTCAGATGTACATCACAAGTTTTCAAAATACATCAATTTTTCCAAAATGTTCAACTTCCAAAAGTCGTCTAGTCAGTACAACCAAAAATGCTAATCAAAAGAGCCATCAAGTAGGCTTTCCCATAATTCTTTCCATCTCAACTCCTGTTAAGGAAAACAAATCTAACGGAATGAGCGAATGCTTGTAAGGCCAAGAAAATATGCAAAACATGTAGTTCAAATCATTTAAGCGAGAATTAAAGCTGTAACATTCAAGCAATTCACAATTTTCAATTAAACACATTCACTGAGGATACAGGAGCTCTCAAGAGTTAATTTCTACTTGCTTTGCCAAAATTCAATCCAATACTTTCTCGTGATGACACTCCGTCACCTGAATAGGTAATCAAGTCCATAGAATTTCACTTTTCCAATTATGGTTCTGAGTCGACATGAGAGATACCTCCAACTCGAATCGGTGTGGTACATGCTAGCGCTTAAGGGATCGATTATACGTTTATAATTTTGAGTCGACATGAGAGGTACCTCCCACCCGAATCGGTGTGGTACATACTATCGCTCAGTGGTCGATGAGACATCGCTTCAATTGACTTATACTTTGTTTATAGTTTTGAGTCGATATGAGAGGTACCTCCCACCAGAATCGGTGTGGTACATGCTATCGCTCCGAGAACCAATTATAGCACTGAGACGGTATGAGAGGTACCTCCCACCAAAATCGATGTGGTACATGCTTCCGCTTAGAGTTCACGAGTTAAATGTGTTCATGTACAATTACCAAATCATATGTATTTATGTCTTAAGTACCACGTAGCTCAAAGAGAGAGAGGACAAGGACGTCCCCACGAGTAAAATATGATTGGTCGATAAGATTTACTTCGATCGACGTCGAGTCAACACAAATGTAATTTGCAATGGCAACACTTCACTTAATTCACATAGCAATTCATTTCACACAATTCGAATATCAATTCACATAGCACAATTCAATTGTAGCATCACTTGAGGGAGAACGAGTGCGATAAAGTACACACTCGTCTCAACAATTCCATAATACCCAATTAACAATTAAAGCATTTATCAACAATTCATGCACTTGACACTCACCAAATCACAATAAGGAAGTAAGTGCAAAAGATCTTTAATGATCCACTTCGAGATTCTCTTCAAGACCTTCTTGATCGCCTGAAGAAAACGACCAATAATCACTTGCACATTTTCACAAATTCCTTGTTAAATAAGGAAGAATGCACACAATTTTTAAAATTCAAGTCAACGTCCTTATAAGAGTTTCATTTTATCGAAAATAAAGATTCAAAAGTGAGGATTTTAAAGTTACTAAAGAAACTCGTATTCCCTACGAAATCGAGTTCAAAACAATATACCAATATTAAGGTAAGAAGTCAAGTTTCCAAAAAATTTCATTTTCCAAGAAATCGGCAAATTTCAGCTTTGCGCGTCAAACTTAGAAAAATCAGATCTTGCACTCAGTAGGTCCAAAATTGGAAAACTTAGTACTGTTGAAAACTTGTTCAAAGTACTAAAAGTTCCTAAAAGACACTTTTCAAAGATTCTAAATGGAAGACATTCAAATTTCAGCTCAAAGTGGCTGATATAAGCATACAAGACAGTTTCTATCATGTTTTTCTGCAAACTTTGGAAATTCGGCAAAATTCACAGAAAGTGAACTAGCTTCTAAAATTCGTAATACAATAAGATTTCTGAACAAAGTTTTAAACATAACAAACATAACTGAATTCGGAGTTTTGAGTGCCAAAATATAGCAGCCCAAATTTGGCCCAAAAATGAAGATTGTTGGTCAATTTTCTAGATTTTGAAGAACGACTTTGGCATATCATTTGTATATCGAAACAGTCTTAGAATGACACCAAATTTGGTACATTTCAACTTCCATATGAGGGCTACTCCTCTATCAAATTTCACATAAAAAATCGTACGGGAAGGTAGTTACCAAAACTACCAAAGTTCAAGAAATTTCGAAGACAAATCTGTCTTCTTGTTTTCTCTCCCTTTTTCAAACACTTTACCCAATGAAATCAACTCCAATCTGACTCATTTGTGAAACCAAGACCCAAGAAACATTTAATATACATTTTTTAGGTGATTGACACCAAAATTTTCAGAACAACATGTCTCAAGTCAAGCTAGGCCATTCGGCTAGCAAAATTAGGGTTTTCCAGCTTTGGTACAGTTCATGAATTGGGCTATATCTCACTCAATACAACTTGAAATTGGGTGTGGTTAGTGGCGTTAGAAACAAGAATCACAAAGCTACAATTCATCAGAACAAATCATTTTGAATTTTAGTTTTCAAATGAGAGAAAATAGAGCCATAAATTGTAGCTTCTACCTTTCTCTCGGATGGGCTAACAAAACAGGGCAGCCGACTTTGATCAGTCACTACAGATGACTCAGCTCAAATTAGAAGGTGCATTATACACCTTAGAAAACTATGGATGTCTAGTTTTGAATGCAGGTGACAGCACTCAATTTTGACATCCGTACAGAGAGATATGTTCATTCAAAAAACACTGGCAGAGGACCACTGTTACACGAATTTCCAGATTTGCTCTTGACAAAATTCAATTTTTATCCAACCAATTCAAATAATTTTTGGTAGAAACTTTCCACACATCATATACAACATATCTACATCAGTTTCAAAGTCATTTGAACAATAAAAATTTGAACCAAAGGCCCGGCAAAAACAGGACAGATTTCGGCCGGTCTTCCTATGCAATTTCCTTCGATTTTCCTTTCACTTTTTTAACTAACATCATCTTGTTTAACACATAATTAACACAAACAACACTTATTATCATCATATCAGCCCATAAAACCAAGGTGGGAATTCATAGAGCCCACATCAACCATTTCAATCCAAGTAACAACCTCAATAATGAAGCTACAAGCTTCATAGCCAAGATTAAACTTACTAAAGCCGAGATGAAAATATTGGATGATTACCTCCTAATCCTTGAGACAAATCAGAAATTTTTTGCACCCCTAAAGCCCCAAGAAAACCGTGAGATGATGCCTTTCTTCTAGGTTAAGTGGATCTTCAAGAAATTTTAAGGTTGGATGTAAAGTTTAAGGTGATTGGGAGTAGGATTTGGAGTGAAATGGTGAGGAGTTTTCTTCTTCTTCCTTGCTTGGAGGTTGGCCAGCTATGGTGAGTGAAGAGACAGAGAGAAAGGCTGATGAATGAAGCTTCTTGGAGAAGCTTGAGAGTTTGTGGTTAAAATTCCTTTAAAAGTCAACTCTTAATAGTGCGCGCATGCGCGCGTTTCGTGTCCGTTTTCTTTCGGGTTTGTTTCACTGGTGCACTAACTTCTAATGTACCTCCTTTAATATTATAATTATTCACTCTTAGTAGTTTAGGATAAATTTCTTAAATCTCCATTGGGTCGATTTGACGCGAAAACGTGAACTTCCAATTCGCGCGCGATAAAGCAAAATTTAAAAGAAATTCTTGTAACGATAATATAAGTAACTAATACTAGGGTAAATAATTATAAAAATAACTATTTTAAGAATAAAACATGAGTCCTCAACTCTCCAAGACTATTGCACTCTCGAATCGAATATTATTTTGGAAAACGTATATTCCCTATTTCTCTCTAAACGAGCCATAGAAAAATTAATTTTGTTAACGGGATGTTTTAAAAATGTAAGCGAGATATTGTTTCGTGTAAATGGATTTAAAATGGTTGAAATAAATTATTCAGAGAAAATGGATGATTAAATATTTAAATAATCTA